ATTAGGTCATGTATCTACTTAAATGTTCGTTTTTTTGTTCCTATCATTCTTAAATGCATCATTTACATGTTCCTCAAGCAAAAGAACTAACTGTATCTACCACCATGTGGAACATATTTGTTCTTACTCTCAGCAGGTGCTCAAGTTCCTTAACCCAACCAGATGTATTTGATGCATATAACCATTGAAACATAAAAAAGTGGAACAAAGCAGCAGTGGCAGGACCTATTCAATAGTAAAACTGTGATTTTTATTGTGAAAAACTAAATTTATATAGATTGTCAAAGGGTTAAATCAGGGTTTCTCATGTGAAAGTGAATGTTTTTCAGCCATCCCTATCAATGCACCATTAAAGAAGTAGTACGGGTATACACCATTTAAAATAAATTTTGTATAGTGGTGAAAATAGATACTTGTTTCATTTGAACTTTTTTATGCCACTTGTTTCCATTCATTTTGTAGATGACTATTATTACAGTGGCAATAGCTTACCCAAAGTCTTTTAAGTATTGTAATAATAAAAGTTGCAAATTGATTAGATTTGGCAGTAGGGAAACAATTTTAGCCAAAATTGTTATTAATATACTTTAGATATTGAAGACTTTGTTGGGAGTAGTGCCTTTTTGAACTTAATATTATTTGGGTAAGATTTTATAAAGATGTTCAAAATCTCTGCAGAGCGTGGCAACACTTTGGTCTGCTCAAGTAATTATTGTTGAAAAACAAGAGCGCTCAAGAGCCGTTTGACTTGATGCAAATAGTTTAACATGTTCTGAGCCAAACACCAATGAAACAACTCTGGATTAGTTTCTGTTACATCAAATTAATTGCATAAATATCACAGTGATTGGAAGAATCGTATGAAATGTTTTTGATTTAGGGAGCATCGTTTTGTTTTGTCGCTTGTCTTCTCACTTCTCACAGACTGCTGCAGAAAAATTGTAATCACACCCAGATTACCACACACACACACACACACACACACACACACCCACGCACGCACACACACACACAAAACTGACACAAAACACTGTCAGTTCTGATTACTCCACTCTCATCTCCGGTCTCGAGTAATTTTTTTCTGCTTTTGAAGTAGCATTTTACCCAACTTGGGGATGACTCGGGTTTCCTCAACTAAGTGGGCAAACCAGAGAATGAGTCGAGCTTTTTAGTGTTCCTGGGCCAGACGTGGACCTGCATTCCTCTGCTGCCTGTCAGTCATTCAGCCATTCTCACAGGACTCCCTTGCTCCCATCAGTCCCACTGTTCGCTTATAGTAACTCTGCACATTCTAGTACTAACTTCACATGTTTCTTTTAAAACTTGCCAACAGCCTCACATTGCCTTTTGTCTTACCTAAATGCTGGCATATCACTTGTCTCTCCATATAAAACATGTTTAGTTTCAACTTGATTGATACAGAATTCCCAGGTATAGACTGATGACTCAGACTGGAGAAGTGGCTTCATATCAGCGACATTCTTGAAGCCATTCACATCAGGATGGGACTAAGAAGTGAACTGGCCACTGAACAGAGAAGGCACTGTAAGCAAAGGAATGAGAAAATGAACGCATATTTATTTGTCAGTCAAAGTTATGGACAGCTTCTTAATGGATGTGATTGAATCTGTCTTCAGATAACTGGAAAATGTGGAAAATAATGAGTGTGCACTTGTGTGTGAGCTTTGTGAGTCTGCCAAGGTCTGTGGAAAGTTAAACCCTTAATACAGTAGATGTGTGTGTCTTTACAGGACAATGGGGGGTTGTAATGATACTCCATCAGATCAGGTAACCTATCAGAGACCTTTCTGCATATTTAACAACCCAGGAACAAAAGAGAAGCCCAAAATTGCATTTCCAGTGGAATTTGACGTCTTTGGTTTTCTGCAGAAAGATAATTTTAAATATGATAATTATTGCTTTTGGAAGTGATGGTAAAATACACTATTGAGAAATGTGAGCCTGTTTGAATTTACTGTAGTTAGATGAATACAGGGTGGCATGGTGGCTCAGTCGGTAGAGCTGTCGCCTCTCAGCGAAAAGGTTGCAGGATCAAATCCCAGCTCGGTACCTTTCTGGGTGGAGTTTGCATGTTCTCTCTGTGCTGTGTGGGTTTTCTCCGAGTACTCCAGTTTCCTCCTACAGACCAAAAACATGCATGTTAGGCTGATTGGTAACTTTAAATTGTCCCTAGGTGTGAGTAAGAGAGTGAATGTAATTGATTTTTGTTTAGTTTGTCTCTATGTGTCCCTATGATGGATTTGTGACTTGCCCAGGGTATACCCCAACCCCACACAGTGACTGCTGGACATGGGTACCAGTTAGCCTCGCAACCTGGAAAGGAAGAAGTTGGTAAAGATAAATGGATGGATGTTTTCTCTCTGACCAGATC